CCATAGTTCTCCTTTAAGGACATCCAAGCATGTCAGGGATGGAACAATATCCACCCAACCCCGGCTACTTATCAATTTAGTCGAGTACAGAGATTTTCCGCCAAACCTTATCACAGTAATTGCATAATAGTCCAAAGGATGAGTAATTAAAACTGCAAAATTGACCACACTGCTAAGCTGCCAAAGTCTATCTAGCTTCTATGTACTGCACTATTGCACCAAGGATCAACAATTACAATTCCATATCAATCTACTTCTAGCTTTATCAGTTCAACTGCAGACTGAGCGAGTTGTGCCAATCTTACAAGAGAGCAGAAACTCCTCCAGTATACCTTCATTTATTTTAAATTGTAGCATGATTTGTTGCAACACATGCACCTACACATCCTATCCACCTGCATCAAGTTAGATTTTATTGATAAAGAGCAATTCCAAACAGGTAAACTCAATCAGTGAGCAGCTATACTCCTCACATGTTGACTATATATGCATGCGGAATGCTGTGCTGTGCAGGAACTCTTCATATGTCCCACTAAGGTTTAATAACATTTTCCATCACAAAACCCTATTCCAAACGCACATTTGTAAACGCTCTCCTCTTCTCCCAGAAGCCAACACTTTGCACGCTCAATTATATAATTGACCCCCCCCTTTTTTTTTGGTCCATTTTGTCAGCCTATACAAAAAACATAACAGTTTTCTTTTATTAACCTCTTGCCGTCCGCCCGTAGTAAAAAAACGGACGGACGGCACTGCAGCATCTGCGGGTTTCCGTCTCCAGACGGCAATTTTTTTCTGCTCGCGCGCGCCCCCTAGCGGGCACGCACGGGCAGAAAAGGCCCGCTAAATGCACACACCCGTTACCGGGTGTTTCACATATAGGCGATCGGAATATAGTAAAAAAATAAAACCCCCAGTGGTGAATAAATACCACCAAAAGAAAGCTCTATCTGTCCCCAAAAAAGGGTATAAAATTCATTTCAGTACAGCGCTGCATGACGGAATAAATGTCAGTTAAAGTACCGCAGCGCTGAATACTGAAAAATGGCCTGGATGGGAAGGGGGTTTAACACCGCGGATGTCAACTGGTTAACCGTGAACCACATAAAAACATTGTGTCTTTAGAAATATTAAAAATTAGTTTTGCAAATTATTGTAATTATTATTCATTTAGTTATTGATTAATTAGCACATGCTGACTATATTTGGCCTGGGCATCTAGGTATTAATGCACTCTGGTCACAAGAGGGTTAAAGCCTATATAAACCCAAAAACAACATTTTTATAGATTGCTACTTACCAGTCCTTAGACAAGGTTCACCTGGTAATAACACACATCCTGTGTCTGGGGGGCCAGGCTCACTCCTCCATTGTATCTATGGAGGAAGCCATGATCGTTACCCAGGCTGGATTTCTCTTCATCACCATTACATGGGGAGTGATAGAATTAGTAGTTTACATGAGAAAGCTCAGATTGTTTTTATTTCCTGTTCACCTCACAGGAAGTGACAAACAAACTGCAATTCTGGCACAATCAGCCGGTAAAAGTTTGTACTTGCTGGGAATGTTCTTAGCCTGAAAAAAGAAACTGATGCCCCACATTTTAGGACTGGTAAGCTGCAATATATTACTCATTTGTTTTTGGGTTTGAGATGTCCTTTAAACTTCCACAACAGGTTTGACAGTGGGTTCATGTCACAGTTCCGTGACATGAGCGCACTGGATCGCATAATCATAGTCTCCCTGCGTTCTGGGGAGGGAGGGGGCCTGGCTTTGATTATGCGATCCAGTGCGTTCATGTCACGGAACTGTGACATGAATGCAGTGGATGGTGTGAAGGGGCCCTAAGTTACCTTGTACATCACTGTAGACCACAGAAAGCCTAATTTCAAACAGTCAAAAATTACAGGTATTAGAAAATACAATACAACACGTGAGAGAACGTTATTTTAAAGTACAGTACCGAATAGACATTATGAGTGTACAGAGGCCTAATGACCGCACCAATGTAAACAAACCTACTGCTTGCCTCTTAGTTATAGAGACAGGACTGAAGAGTATCCGGAATTGTATGAGATATACAGTACATGAGAGAGCCTGTCTACTGCAATAGTATCCACTTACCTTTAGACATCAAATATTTAAAGAACTATGGGGTCAGTGTTTTCCCCCATAGTTCTCCTTTAATACAAGCCAAGCCTCATCACTGCTGCTTTCTAGAAGGTTGTTAAAAGGAATGCATGGTCTCTTCAATGTTTTTACATATTAAGATTATACAGGATTTATCCAGCACCAACAGTTTGCACAGTGCTTTACAAAATATGGGGAGATAGTACAATTACAATACCATACAAGCAGATTAGAAGGTAATAAACCTGTAAGACCTTGTCTATTTGTGAACTATAGAGGCAGGCAACTGTGGAGGCAGCCATGTTTAGCCATTACATACTCAGACTTTGCTTTCTGCAGTGCTACACAATGGTTGAATTTTAGAGCTCATTTTGGATGAGATGGCTGATCTATTGAAAGCCATGCGTTTCCAGTTTGCCAGTTGCTCAAGAAAACCTGTGTTGACAGAAATATACAGGCTGCCATTGCTGAACTCCCATTCTGGAAATGCCAAGTGTTTGCCTGTCATGCTGAGCCAATGGCTTTAATATTTTCAGCCAAGGACTTGAAACAAGCATGCTGATCAAGAGTTTGGACCTCGCTGACTTTTCAAACAGCAAGTTTGTGTCAGGTCTGTCAGTCTATGGACTGCTAGAGACATCCAGGCAGCTAGCATTTCAACAGATGACCAATGGCAGTCGCAATATTTGTCTTAGTACAGGGGCAAAAGTACCTGCAATAAGCCATTATTAAGCCAGATTTAGGCACAACAAACAGCTTAGGTGTGAAGGGGGCCTTAATGACACTTCAGTCTAATTATTTATCCCAGACCTTTGTATAGCACCATCAATTGTCTATGTGCTGCTGTATGGCGGCATGCAGTGCGGTGAGCCGTGCTGATCTGTGCAGCTTAACGCAGAGGGTGTAGGGTGCCCCAAGAGAGTTTGGAGAGAGTTTCTCTCACTTCCTGTTGTGTTGAGGGGACAGGACGTAAAGGGAAATTGGACACAAGCATTAAAAA